TTTGACAATGCGACGAGATTTAACGTGAAGCCATGCTACCGGGAAACTGTTTTCGCTCAGATTGACAAAATAAAGGCAGAGAAGAACGTCTTCCCTTTCTTCATTTTGGATGAAATGAGTTTCAACGAGAATATCGAGTCTGGAGGGATGCTGCCAATTCTGCTGTCTATAGCTTCCAAACGCGCCATTTGCGCATGTTGAGAGATTTTGGATTTGTGACTTTGACTAAAATATCTTGGAACACTCCCACAAAAAAATGATCCGTTATACTGTCCATTCCAAAATTATTTAAATGTTATTTTACAGATTATAAGAACCACCGATATGGATAGAAAGTTGAAGAATCGACAACTTGTTAAAACATGACGCGAAAAAAACGCCAACAAATTCATTCAATGTGAATGTGGCGATCGATATTTCTATCACAACATATCGAATCACAGAAAGACATAGAAATATTCGACGGTTTTGAATTTCCAACGGATGCTTAAAAAATTGAGAATATATCGTGATTATATTTTTTTATTTAATGTATACAGCGGCAATCAGCGATGCGTTTAATTATATTCATTGTGAAGCTTTCATTTAATAGCGATGGAATTAAGAATGTAGTATCGATGCCAAGTGGCCGGCAGATCCTTTTCAACTGCCAAGCAATTGGAAAATACAGGAATTGGAGCATACAAACTGGCAAATGATCCGGGATTACTGTGATTGAAGATCTCGCCCGTGTACACAATATTGAATTTGTCCTTTTTTAGTTGTCCCATCCCACGCGGTACGAACCGAAAAGATATTGGCATTCGTATTCTGTCTCGTTGATCGCTTTAACATAGAAGTCAGCATCACCACTGCTTTGTCATTGATAGACTTTTGCTCAGCATCAGCAAGAACCTTAGCAGATTGGCCACCGCGTTTGCTAGTGCTTAGGTAAGTTGGTGAAAGCAACGGCTTTGTCTAGCATACTGCGGTCATATAACACATATGCTACCTTCATTCATTTATCATAATCTTTGAATCATGTTCGCGGTCAAAGTTTGATCAGATCGTGAATTTTTTGATTGATCTAAATATCGCCAGTCTTTTCCACTTTTTTTTCTAATATAGGATTCATGACACAAGTATTCTCCTTACACTGATAGAGAGCTTTATGTATCTTTTCGGATATATCAACTGGTTCTGCATCATCCACAACCTCATAACGTTCGCCAAAAACCACACATCCGTTATCGTTTCTGACATTAAACCTGGTAAAACGTTTGCAGATGTCTTAAATCGCTCATCGTATTTCAAGTAATAATGATATACACCGCTGCAAGTCCTGACTTTGTATGTTTGGTAGTCATCAAAACGAATATCAACATAATGTCGGGAATCCATTCCGTTCTTATTCTTTCTAAAATCAACATCAGACGAAGAAGTTAAATCGATTTAGTGGGCATCTACACAAATATGAGAGCGATTTTTGTGGTCGACAATCACATCGTGAATATGGCTAACTCTTTTAAAAGGGTTATCGCTAATAATGATAAAGCAGTGTATAACTATTTGTTAAAGTACTTCAAACATATATGAATAAATCCTATGGAAAAGACCGAGACAGTGATAGTCATCAACGGTAAGCAAGAAAGCGGAATATGTGGCATTCGATGTTTTGCATAGATATGTCTAAGGTCTATACTTATCACTTACTACACCTTGGTCACTGGTCGTTTCAACTTCATTCGTCAGTCGATGATCATGTGCGTTCTAGATAAAGCAGTAGATAACATTGATCGCGCGGTAATGAACAAACTCAAAGACTTGATTACAGTTGACGAGGTTCAAATTAGATACAATGGAAAGGAGCCAGGTACTCTTTGTAATTTTTGCAATTTCGTTGTATTCTAAAAAACAAGTTTATTCGTCGGTCGCTATGCCTTGAAACAAATAATGTGATGATTGGCAATAGATCATAATTCAGCAGATACTGGGCAAAACTGGTTAAGTTTAATGCGGGTAAGCATGTCTTTCATTGGTTGGTAAATCATGTCACGATCGATGATGGTTGGTATCCACAAGACACACAACAAACGTCATACAAATAAGAGCAGAAACAACTTCAAGTTGCGCCCAATCAAGTTCATGATCAACTGCTTGGAAAAAGTAGCAAAGTAGGATGATAAAAATGTCTATGAGATTCCTATAAAGCAGCCATTTTGTAATTTTATAGAGTTTTGCGGCACCCCAACACTACAAAACCATGTCGATGAAAGCCTTCAGTCTGACCGTGAAATTATCTAATAAAGAGCGCAATTTGCTGGGCATGCTATTCCAAAGAGATACTAGAATAGAGTTCGCAATAGTACCATAAAATTAATTTGCGGAGCTGCGTCTGTCTTACGACCCCCCAAGTGGTCTAGATAGTATAAACACTACCAACTAATATCATGTGTTTCAGTGGTAAAGCATTGAGTAGCCTGACCTTCTATATATATATTGAAACTACAGCAGATCTAGACAGTAAAAACGGACTCAAAATGTCGCGGGGGTTGAAGGGGCAATAGGGGAGCATGGGTGTATATTGGTGTGTTAGTAAAATCCGAAGTGAATGAGTATAACGCCCTTAGTTCGCTACGCTGTACAACCTTTGAGCCTACTGAATGCAATCTGGTTTATTCACACCAATGAACAACTGCCACCACGCCCGTAATCATATTTGTATTCATGACTCTCACAGTACGT